GCAAATTAAAATTTTCAAAAAAATAAATAAGTAAATAAATAAATAAATAAGGAGGTGGAGGAGAGTGAAGAGAAGCTAAGTTTTGGAATTTTTCAAAAATTTCGGCAGCATTTCGTTGGCCCCATGGGGTCGAAGTGTGTCGTGAAGAAGAAAGAAAAATAAGAAGATTATGCCAGCACTTCGCTACCCCCAAGGGGTCAAAATGTGCTGAAAAAGACTAAGTATGAAGAAAACAGAAAATTTCGGCAGCACTTGTTACCCCCACGGGGTCAAAATGTGTGCCGAAAGCAAGAATGGCTAAGTCCTAATCAGATTTTAGGGTGCCGCAAAAAATTTTGAATTTTCAGAATAAATAAAATAAATAAAAAATAAATCAGAAAATAAGAAAAGAGGTAGGGAATAAGATGATTCAGCTTTTTGGAGAAAAAGAGAAAATTTAAATAAAAAAGAAAGAGAAAAGAAGAAAAAAAGAAAAAAATCGAAGTGGGGGGGAAGGGAATGAAAAAGTGATGAAAAAAAAGAGAAAAATAGGTGGGAAAGAGAAAAGATTGAAGTGGTAGGTGAGGGAGATGATGGGGTTGTAGTTGGGGGAAGAAAGGAGGAGAGGAAGGTGAAAGAATGAGAGAAAAAGCTATGGAAAAGGTGAAGAAAAGAGTGAGAGGTTGGTAAAAGAAGGTGAGTGGAGAGAGAGGAGAGAAAAAGATGGTGAAGAGAGAGGTGAGAAAAGGTGATGGATGAGTGGTGGTGAGAGAAAAAGAAGGTCAGATGATGAAGGGGAGAGAGGGAAAAGGGAGTGGGAGAGTGGATTAGGGATGAGAGAGGTGATACCCAGCTCTTGGGTAACCAAGAGCATACAACTTCACCAAGATCCACAAGATCTTGGCCTTCACACACCCCTTGGGAGAAGGGGTCTTCAAGGTGGTGATGAACTGCTGCTGCACATTATCTGGGGTTGGCTGAGATCTTGATCAGCCACCCAGTTCCACTGTAGTGCAGCCCCCTAGCCAGGGGGGTCTTTAAAAAAAAATTCTCAGCAAACTGCCACGTGGCACTTTTGGACATGGCCACGGGTCAAGAGAGGAGATGTAGAGGGCAAAAACTCTTTTGCCAATAACTTTTCACCCGCTGGGTGAAATTTGGCAAAAGAGGTCTTGTTGGAAAGATTTTTGAAAGCCGCTTCCAACGAGATAAGGCGCAGCATCAGCCACTGCCTTGAGTAATAGCGCTCGTTGAAAAAACGAGCGCGGGTAGTTTTTTGGAGCTTTTAAAAAAATCGCGATTTTTGAAAGATCGTAGCTCCTCAACCACCGCACAGAATTAGGCGATCTATAGCTTGTTGGAAGCGGCTCATCGAGAGCGTTCCAACAAGCTAAAGATCAATAAATTTGGACCACCGGTGCAGAAGTTAAAATCGAAAGAGTGCACCGGTGTCATTACCAAAGAAAAGGGGCGAGCGTTTTTTTTTTTTTTTTTTTTTTTTT